TATATATGTGTGTGTGTGTGTGTGTGTGTGTGTAAGTATATATATATATATATATATATATATATTTCTCTCTCATTATGCGTATGTGTATATTCTCTTGTAAAATACATTCCCTCATGAGGTAGCTTTAAATGTGGCTGTGTTTTGTCATTATCTTGTAGTTTAGCTCGCTACTTTTTCAAAAGAGCGTTGAAATGCTCTGAAACGAAATCCTGTCAAGCTGCTCATAATTTTGACATGGCTTCACCAACATTGACTAAAACGGTCGGCATTAATGCAGAGTCACGCAGCTGTGTTGCTGTCAGAGTGCTGAGAGTGTTTGTGTTTGTTTGTTCTGTCTGTGATTGACAGCTGGATGGTAATGGAGACGGGGAGCCAGGCGTGCTCATGACAGCTCAAACCATCACCTCTGAATCGCTCTGCACCACCACCACCACACACATCACAAAGGTAACACACACACATCACGAAGGTAACACACACACACACATCACGAAGGTAACACACACACATCACGAAGGTAACACACACACACATCACAAAGGTAACACTCACACACATCACGAAGGTAACACACACACGCATCACGAAGATAACACACACACATCACGAAGGTAACACACACACACATCACGAAGGTAACACACACATCACAAAGGTAACACACACACACACACACATCACGAAGGTAACACACACACACACACACACACACTCTCACTCTCTCACACACACACACATTACGAAGGTAACACACACACACACACACATTACGAAGGTAACACAAACACACATTACGAAGGTAACACACACACTCTCACACACACACACACATTACGAAGTTAACACACACACACACACACATTACGAAGGTAACACACACACACGCCACTGGCTGATACATTTGGGCTGTTAAGAGAGGTTATGAGATGATGATCCTGTTCAGGATGTAGGATATTAGCTGACAGGTAAAAGTAGGGGTATAGATGCAGAGCCAGCAGACTTCATTTATTTTTGTTCTCCTTGAGCAGGTTCCTTTGTATTTTAATGTCAGAAGTGAGTTTAATGTATGACCAGTTTTTAAAGACAACATCAAATCAAAACCCTATTTACACTGAAAATGTTTGGTGTAGGATTTACTTTGAAAATTTGAATTTTCACTCAGAAATTGCAGGTAAATTCTTTTATAGAAAGACTGAAATAGTATTTTAATGCAAAAACCTACACCAACAATCTTGTAAAAAATATTTTTAAAACTTGCAAATAAAGTGCTGTCCTGTACCTCTCTGTTCGGTGCAGTTCACATCATGTCTGTGTCTCTTTAATGATTGACAGACACTAAAGGGCGGGCTGTCAGAAACTCGCATTGAGAAGCGCATCGTCATCACGGGAGATTCTGACATTGATCACGATCAGGTGAGATGCACACACACACACACACACAACTGTCGTCTGTGTACATATATAAAGCCAGATGCACACTCTTTGATTTTTGCCTGAGTCTATTTTTAGACATTGTAGCAGGTTTCTTTGGTCTGATCGCTCAGAGTGACACATCAGTAAACGTTTCCACTGGTGTGTCTGTAGCATCTGCCACGTGTCTCATTATTTAGCGCTCCCTTCAACATGGTCTTCTCAGGGTTTGTTGTGAAGAGCTAGCAGTCAACAAAGTCCCTCTTTTGCCCAGATGCTTCTGACTTTATTTAATCTATCTACACATTTGCTTAAACTTGCTTTGGTTTGTGTGGCATCAGTGAGGATGTCAGGACACGAACTGATTAGTCCGTAATAAAGTAAATCTATTTAACAGCAGCATTCAAGTAAGAAATTGAATAATCAAAAGTAAAAACAAAACACTATGTAGTTTTCACTGTATAATTTAAATATACATTGATTTTAATTGAATCTACTAAAGTTGTAAGAGATACTAAAGCAGTGAGTGTGTTTTTATTCTTCACATTAACAATACAGACAGCAGCAGGTTTATTAGGCTGCTGTCACTTTAAGACCGAATGCACTGATCCAGTATATTCACACACATCTGATTTTCTTTTTATTTATTTATTTCCACTTAAGACAGAGAAACTGTGTTTTTATGTGAACTTTGAGTTTTTGACCGTTTAAGCGCAATATTACACGAAAGAAAACTCACATGCTATGTTAGTAAAATAGTTTGAAAGTTTAAACTGGCAAAGCTTTAAAAAATGCAATAAACTTTTGTGATAACTAAAGTCACTCAGTCTCTCAGTAAAGGCAGATTGTGAAGACTTTTTAATCATTCACAATCTAATATCATATTGCTCTACATACAGTCTGACCTAAAATACGGCTGATTTCTTGCGGTTTTTCTGAGCATTTGAGTATCTCAATGGGTTGATATTGTACGAGCAGAAGTGGTAAAGTTGAGACAGTCACACACAGTGCAGCTGTGATTGTAGTGTGAAGGAGCTCATGATCCTCAGACGCATGACGACAGGCGCTCGTTTTAGCCGTGAGGTGTTTCTGTCCGTCTGTGTCGTATGACGCACGCAGCTTCTGATTGGTCGGGAGCGTGCACACAGGTTACCATAGCGATGTGACATTTGCCATCCTCTCAGACTGAGAGCTGTTCACGCAGGTCCCAGCATCAGTTGTTCACATGCATGTATGTTTCCCATCATCCGTTTGCGTTCAGTTGCTTGTGTTTTCATTCTTGTGTTGGGTTGTTCATTTTTTTTCCTTTAAATCTTTTGTTTGCTTTTGTTTGTTTGTGTTGGTTTACTGTGGGCGGGCTCAGGCATTGGCCCAGGCTATAAAGGAGGCCAAAGAGCAGCACCCTGACATGTCCGTCACTCGCGTGGTGGTCCACAAAGAGACGGAGCTCGCCGAGGACGAGGACTGAAGGACAGGTAAGCGCATGGCAAAAAGCGCCACTCTTGACGACCTGCTCCGGCCCATCTCCTCCTCCTCCACTGGGAGCCTGTCGTTTCTCCCCTTTTGTTTGTTCTTTTTCTTGTATTCATCTATCCTTTTGTGTTTGTCTCTTTCTTTTCTCTGTGCTGGGTCTGCTCAGTGTGTTTCTCATGTTAAAGCAGTGTGGATTCACACTCATTTGTGAATCTTGAATTTGTGCTGAACTGGACTCTTATTTTAGGGGATCCTCAGACACCTTTGAATGAAATGTATGATCTCTACATGGAAAAGAAACAGTAGTATTATCATATGATTATGTTAAATCCCTCACTTTCATTATCCTTGCAATATAAAACACATAGTGGTGTTTTTGCTAAGCACTGCTGCTTAATGAAATGATTAGAAAAATATTAGTATTTATTATAAATATAGCTACATGCGGCACTTAAGGGGGCAAGCACAACAGAGGCAAGATGAGGAGCTAAGCAAGCACGACAGTAGTATTAATTCTGGCAGCCATTTTTAATTTAGTCTTAAGGTGCGTCCCAAATCGTGTGCTTATGCACTATTCCGTGACGTTTTGCAGTATAATACTGAAAACTCCACACTGAAAACTCCAAAAAGAAAAAGAGTACTTTAAATACCCAGATGATGCATTTAAATAGCTGAAAAAAGGAAGTTTGGGATGTTAGACACTTCATGCACTCAACTGTCGCAGCTTTAATTACGGGGGGGTCCTGTTTTTGTTTAGTCAAGTTTTAGTCGACGAAATGCCGTGAGCATTTTAGTCAATAATCCCTCACATTTTCGTCATGCTGTATAATGGTTAAACTGATAAAAAAAAAATAATAATAATTTGCTCATAATTGTAATTGTAATGATAGTTGTCATTTGAGAATTTTACTTTTGCATTTCAGGTATTGCACTTTAACCAGTAAGCACAAATCAATAGAATGTCAGCTCACACACATGGTTTATTTTACCTCATCTACTGATTTTTTATAGGCTATTTATTATATAAATTAATATCAAAGACTTATGGAATCTCTCTGTCTACATTATGAAAACTGGTAAAACAAGCAAAAAATATTATCCTAATAGTAATTCCAAATTGCAATAGCCGATGTTTCTCTATTAAAACAACAGCGGTTGAGTAAGCGCATCTATTCAGCGATCACAGTCGCAAACTATTTATTCGAGATCTCATGACAGAACACAGACACCGGCTGAGTCACGTTTTCATTTAGATCGCTACATCAGCATTTTTTTTACATTTCATTATAATTTTTGACCACAAGGTGGCACTGGCCTGAAACTTTGAGAACCTTCAGGGCATGGTGGCAATGACATACATAGTTTTGTAATGACACATCAATGCATTTGTAGCATTTTATGTCAAAGTTTAAAATGGCTCAACATGGATAAAAATAATTGGATACCATTCGACTCTGCATGCTGCTCCAAAAATAAAGAGACCAGTTTTGTGACTTTTGGCCAAACCGTTTAGAAGTTATGAGGAAAATTAGCTGGTTTTCATATCTCCTGACCACTAGTTGGCGCTGTGCTGAAACTGTGCACCAGTCTTGATTGTCATAACACACCAAATTTGGTCTCAATATGCTAACGCACTGAGGATAAATAGCCTCAAGTTAATTTTGGTTTGCTCTTTGATGAGTTCTTTTGTCGTATTATTTGAAAACGGTTTAATTAATCAACTTGAATTCCATGTATTTTTTTCACTATGGTCTGAAAATGATCTTATTTAATTTTTTGTAAAAATCGGAGCAACAGTTGAGGGGGAGTTTGAAAAGGTTTTAAAAATGTTTCAAAAAATGTTTTTAGCCATTTGGTTCAAAAGTTATTAGCATAAATGTAAGTGCAAATTTGGACAGTTGGTGGCACTAGAGACTCCAAATTTGCTGTGGTTAATGTTCGGACTGTCCTCTGTCTGTGTGCCAATTTTCACAACTGTTTAATGTTTAATGACTGAGAGTGCCTGATGTCACTCGGTGTGCAGTGTCGGTGGCGTCATTGATTTTAAGGCATCTAGATTTGTTGCGTTTTCATGATGCTGTCGTGTCCATCAGCAGTGCTTGTTCCAGGACCTCATTATGAACAGATGCAGCGCTGAGAGGAAGTGCTTTAGTGCCCATATGAGCGCTGTCACGTCTCCAGCGTGACCTCCACCCCAGCAAACAATGAACTCCTCTGAGAGATTAAAGGCGCTTCTCAGCGCTGCCGATACGCTTCCCTACGGATGTGTCAACAGTGGGCAACTGTGTTGTTTTGGGATTAGAAATATCACAGCTCTGCTGCTGCTCACAGGCCAGGATATCTGCAGGATATGTATTCAAATCTAGAGCCCGGCTGACTGTACTCGATACCAGCCGAGGAGGGCTCAGATTCAGTTTCATTTCAACATGTGAAAATCAGGCTGAGGGATGAAGATACAGAGTCAGAGAGACTAGAGAGGAGTGCTGCGTTTACAGTGTTTCATCAGCGATACAGTACATCATGTTGAGTTTGACTGTGTGAAGCTTCATCATGGTAAATGCGGTGGAGGAGAAGTGTTAGCACCGCTGCTGAATGTCCAAACATTCCCACCTCTCTTCAAACGACAGCTAGTTTTGAGTGCAGGATCAGTTTTCAAGGATTAAAGTCTTCATGTGCTGTTTGCACACTGTTTTTGAGCACTAGTCTAAGAGGTGTGAGATCATTAACTCAATCTAGCAGATGCCATTATTTGTGCCATTTGACCTTATTTAGTAAAAAAGGGGCTCATCAGGTAACATAGGCATGAGCAAATGTATTCAGCAACAACATATCAAATGTATTATCAGTGAAAAAAGTCATGGAAATTATTTGACTGACGTGTTTATGAAATGAATGCCAGCTGTGGGGTGAAGTGTTTCAGGTGCTTTGGGGTAAGTATCTTCTAATGATCTGAATAGTTCATGTTCTCCTGGCTGCTTTATGAAAATGTAATACTTTAAGTCAGTGCATTAGCTAATAAACTGCTCAAAACAAAATTAAAGGAACACTTTGAAAACGCATCAGATCTCAATGGGGAAAAATAACATGCTGGATATCTATACTGATATGGACTGGGTAATGTGTTAGGAACGAAAGGATGCCACATCATTTGATGGAAATGAAAATGATCAACCTACAAAGGGGCTGAATTCAAAGACACCCTGAAAATCAAAGTGAAAAAATGATGCAGCAGGCTAGTCCATTTTGCTGAAATATCATTGCAGCAACTCAAAATGGTACTCAGTAGTTTGAAAGGCCCCCACGTGCTTGTATGCATGCCTGACAACATCGGGGCATGCTCCTAATGAGACGACGGATGGTGTCCTGGGGTATTTCCTCCCAGATCTGGACCAGGGCATCACTGAGCTCCTGGATAGTCTGAGGTGCAACCTGGTGGCAGCTGATGGACCCAAACATAATGTCCCAGAGGTGTTCTAATGGATTTGGGTCAGGCGAGCGTGGGGGCCATTCAATGGTATCAATTCCTTCATCCTCCAGGAACTGCCTGCATACTCTCGCCACATGAGGCCGGGCATTGAACGCAGGACCCACTGCACCAGCGTAGGGTCTGACAATGGGTCCAAGGATTTCATCCCGTTACTTAATGGCAGTCAGGGTGCCATTGTCTAGCCTGTCGAGGTCTGTGCGTCCCTCCATGGATATGCTTCCCCAGACCATCACTGACCCACCACCAAACCGGTCATAGCAGCATAATGTTCTCCACGGCTTCTCCAGACCCTTTCACGTCTGTCACATGTGCTCAGGGTGAAGCTGCTCTCATCTGTGAAAAGCACAGGGCGCCAGCAGCGGACCTGCCAGTTCTGGTGTTCAATGGCAAATGCCAATCGAGCTCCACGGTGCTGCGCAGTGAGCACAGGGCCCACTAGAGGACTAGAGTCAGGCCACCCTCGTGAAGTCTGTTTCTGATTGTTTGGTCAGACGTTCACACCAGTGGCCTGCTGGAGGTCATTTCGTAGGGCTCTGGCAGTGCTCATCCTGTTCTCCTTGCACAAAGGCGCAGATAGCGGTCCTGCTGATGGGTTAAGGACCTTATACGGCCCTGTCCAGCTCTCCTAGAGTAACTGCCTGTCTCCTGGAATCTCCTCCATGCTCTTGAGACTGTGCTGGGAGACACAGTAAACCTTCTGGCAATGGCACGTATTAATGCCATCCTGGAGGAGTTGGACTGCCTGTGCAACCTCTGTAGCGTCTAGCTATCGCCTCATGCTACCAGTAGTGACACTGACCCTAGCCAAATGCAAAACTAGTGGAAAACAGTCAGAAAAGATGAGTAGGGAAAAATATCAGTGGCCTCCACTTGTAAACCCATTCCTGTTTTGGGGGTCGTCTCATTGTTGCCCATCTAGTGCACCTGTTGTTAATTTCATTAACACCAAAACATCTGAATCTGATTAACAACCCCCTCTGCTACTTAACTGGCCAGATCAATATCCCTGGAGTTTAATTGACTTGATGCTATGCTCTGTATAAAAATAAAAAAAAAAGTGTTCCTTCAATTTTTTTGAGCAGTGTAGAATGGATGTCAAGTGATTACAATTTTTAATCTAATTGCATGATGTGCTGATTAG